TTCTAGCAAAAGACCGTATCAATTTGAATAAGTTATCAAGTTCCTAGCTATCTGCAATTATGACTTTTTAATTGATACAGAAAAAAAGAAATTAATTTAAAAAGAGCTCCTTTTAGCTTTAATCCATCTGCTTGAAACCACTGAGCTGTACTGTGACGCAGACACAAATATTAATGACCAACTGGCAATAGGATAATGAGTCAATAAAGATTTTAAATGGTGTGAGCTAGAACAATTACCAACCTAATAGGCAGATAAATAAGGCTACTTGACTTTACCGAAGGAAAATGATTATTGTTAACCAGTTACATTGAATGACCTGAACAAAGTGGTTTGGGTTTGGTTTTTTTTTTCCTTCCTGTCACTTTTCCATTCTGCTGTCCCCAATTCCACTCTGCTGTCCCCAGTTCCCACAGCTATGACTGCTGCTTCTGCATTGCTTACCAAATCCTGACCAAATGAGATCAGCTTTCCCAGTGCAGCTCTCCAGAGCCTGCTGCTGGATTGCATCTCCCAGCCTGCCTCAAAGACCCCCCCAAACCCTTCCAGACAGGCAGACAGGTCAGATTAGCTGCTGAGGGGTTTCTGCAAATAACGAGGAACAAGGGCTTAGACATTTCCAGTATTTCCAGAGAAATCCCATAATTTCTTTAGCCCAAGGCCAGAGTTTTACTGTTGTTTCATCAGCATATTTCTGATACTGCTGTAAGTTAAACTGCAGTTTACACTGCCTCCATGCAAGAGGGTTCAGCAAAGGCAGTGACAAAGGTTATTAAATGACAGCCTGCAACCTGACAGAAAATGATGCTTAAAAACCTAGGAGGGAAAAACAGTATGTCAAAAGCATCCAGTGAACCACAACACAGGTATTATTGACTATGTCCTGAATTTTAAATGAATGATCTGATCTCTGGCAGTAATTATGCAGTTGTTGCTATTTATGCTTGATTTGGCCATGCCTGGAGGCCTTGGCTATGATCTGGGCTGTTCCATGCTAAGCACTGCACACATGCAACTCCTTGAAAGACCCAGGTGCCACAGCACTCCCATACAATGTCTTTATAGGAGCAACTTTTCCCTCTGCCTAATATCACTGAATTCCCTTGAAGTGCTGCTCTCCCACTGGCTGTCCTGGCACCTGCAGCTTCCACCAGCCAGCTGAGCATCACAAACAGGCCACGAGCCTCCATAAGCCTTAATCTTGCTTCAAACACTGCTCTCTGACAGCACTGGTAACTCTGATCCTGGAGATGCTTCATCAGCTTCATCTGACGACACTTTCTGTGCCTGCTACATGTGTTTCAAGAAGTATGAACAAAGACATTATTATTAAAAAAAAGCAGCAAAGACTTCTGTTATTGCTAGTACATTTGAACCTTCTCCAGTTCTCTAGTTGGTTCCACAAACATTTAGGCACATATTTAACTAACCTCATATGATTAATTTTACTGCTTTCAATATTTCTTCTTGCATATTTTCCTGCTCAATAAAGCACTCACCACAACTGTGTGTGTGCTGAGTGGCTCCAGATGACAGAAACTGCACAGGTGCTCACCAAGCTGCCAACCTTTCAGGGTTCAGAATTTAGACTTTTAAAACATTTCAAACGGGGTACACACAGCAGCACACAATCACAGAATGGTGTGGGTTGGAAGAGACCTTAAAGTCCATCTAGTTCCCCCTCCTGCCATGGGCAGGGACACCTTCCACTAGACCAGGTTGCTCCAAGCCCTTTCCAGCACTTGCCACTTGAAATGGACCTGGATTTTCTGTAATGGGTTAGGGAAACATCAATGTAGAGCCAAAAGCCTTTTATACAAACCCACAACCTCATCCAGCAGGGCAGACACACCAGTCAATACTTGTCTTTAAATGAAGTTGTAGTCACTGGCCCCATCCTGCTCCTCTGGTCCAGCACGGCCGGTATAGATGCACTTGGCAAGTCAACCTAATTAATTCAAGTTACTTAAATCAAATTTACTTGGCTTGTGTGACATGGATTGCATCACCCAGCTAAAAGGGAAAGAAGTCCCTACCTGTGGGCACAGGGATTAACTCATCCCAACCACACTTTGCTTTGGAGTCACTTCCAAGCTGGACAATCATTAACCCCAGCACGGAAATTCTCCATGTCTGCTGGGTTGCAAGTTTTCCGCGAGAAGTCTCAGCTAATTTGAGAGCAAAGTTAATCAATTTGCAGAAGCACCGTGCCAGTGCGTGCAGTATTTTAAAAACGACTGTCGGGGACAGCGTCAGACCTCTCGTGTATCACCTGCCCCTGCCGCGTGTGCGCTGACGACAGTAAACACAACCCCGAGCACGATGTGATCTGCCGCGCCGCTCCACGCTCCTTTTCCCAGCAGCCCAGGGTCTGCGGGCTCCCTGACCTTCAATAACCCTAAAAAACACCAAGGCGACCCCCAAAAGGTCCCGTTTGCTGTCCTGTCCGGGACTTCACACACGGCACTGCGAGGTTACGCTCCCCGCGGTGGAGTTAAATGCCCTTTCGAAGGTGACCACCGCCCACCCCGGGGTACCAAACCCAGGCGCGGGGGTGCCCCCACCCCACCGCGGGCGGACCCCCCGCCCCAGCCCCGGCCGGAGGGGCGTCCCGGGCCGCGCACCCACCTGCGCACGGCCTCGGCCGAGCCGGCGATGGGGACCCCGCCGTCGGCCCCGCTGTCGTAGAGGACCCCGCTGACATCCAGCAGCAGCCCCCGCACGGCCCGAGCCCAGCCCGCCATCGCCGCCCGCACGGCCCCGCGCCGGGCGCTGCCGGGAAATGCAGTCCCGGGCTCCGCTCCGCCCCGCGGCTGCTCCCCCCGAGCTTCCGACAGAGACACTGCGGCTGCCTCGGCCCTGCGAGCGCTAGAGCCCAGGCTGGATGAGGCTTGGAGCAACCTGGTCTAGCGGGTCTAGCATCCCTAGGAACCCTAGCATCTCGGGTTCCTTCCAACCTGAGCCATTCTATGATTTGTATGACAACCAAGAAAAAAAAACAAAAAACAAACCAAAAACACTGACTCATCATATAAAGAATTTTGCATCACGGATAAGATTTTATCAGATGTGTTCCAACTTTACAGATAACACTGTTTTCTCTCAAATACCTTCTCATTGCTAATACCATCAATAGCACGCCACGACTCCCCAGAATATATAAGGAGCTGCGGTGGAATTATAGTCCATTTTGTTTTAAGGAAGGCAGAGGAGCCTTGGCAGCATTGATTTGCATCACCGCTTCTGGAATAGCCTCTGGCTTCTCCTTAAAGATTATATCTAAACTGTGAAATTCATTAAACAGGCCCAGAAACGGATCAGGTTATTTAAAACAACATTACTAATGGCGCAATATCTCAGCTGTCTGCACCGATAGTGAACATTGTCTTGGATAGTGTTATCAGTCCAGGACACCCGCTATGAATATTGATCCACAGCTTGTTACAGCCATCACTTGCCGTCAGGACAGGTCAGGGTTGAAACCCACCTAGCATCAAAGCAATTTGAAGACAGCACTCGGGCTGAATTTTAATGCTTGAGCTGGGAAACGGACCAACTTCAGAGTGCTAAAACTAATCCCTGAGTGTGCTTTTTCACATGTGCCTTTCCACACGTGTGTGTGTGTTTGCAGGTTGCTGTGCATACAGGTGTTAAATGGATGGTATTTGAAGATGTCTGCTAGCTCACAAAATAATCTCAGTGCTACAATTTACCTTCTCAGGTCCTGCAGACCCAACAACTCTAACAGAAATATTTGTGGTCTGAAATATATCAGATGAATTTGTTTTTTCCAGTTCTTCACCACCTGCATTCCCAAAACCAAGCTTTACCCACCTGTAGCTTCTGAGTGTGAACTCCTCAGGCCAGAGCTTCCTTTGCTTCTACACACCTGTGGTATCCCATCCCAGAGGCCAAATGGGCTGTTGGATGCTGCCACCACATAATTAACAACGACAGCTACTTGTAATCACATCACCCTGCACATCATCATCTCATCTTCTTGCTCTCCTGTTATTTTAAGGCCTATCTTAAGGCCTTTGCAATAGCACTGAGATTAATGTGTAAGCCCAGTTCTGATGAGGCACCTGTGAAGAGGAAGAGGGCCATGCTCTGCATCTTTCCCTAAGTATAAAAGCAGGTAGAGTAGCAGATTCCTACTGAGGGTTGTTTTCCCCGGCTGAAGGGTGCCTTTTCCTTCATCTATCTGGTGATTTGTGGTACCAACAAGATGCTGAAATGCTAAGGAGAGGGAAAAGCGTCCCCCTGGACAGATAGAGATGTACAGAAAAATACTACTAGCATGTTTTTAATAAGCAGGGCTGGATAGAAGTGATCATGGGGCTGGTGCAAGGCAGTGCACAGAGGCTTGGCCTGCTGTCACCTACCCTGTGTTATAAGTATGACCAGACAACAAAGTGCTTCCCCCCACAGCAAGGACGGTTAGTCTGGGGGTGCTGCTCAGTGAGCCAGGAACTCCTCCAACACAGGTAAGCCTCAGTTTCCCCGCCTACTCACTGAGAATAGTTCGAGCACCACAGGTGAATTGCAGGAGTTTGGCCCAAAGTCTGAACCAGACTGATCCTAAGCTGCCCCGAAACGAAAAGCTGCTCATTTCTCCCTGTGGACCATGCAGTAGTTCCACATCTCAGAGTGGCCGCTGGCAGAGGGAGCGCTTAGAGCCCGGAGCCCACCTGGTGCAGCAGAGGGATGCAGGAGCCATCCCTCTTCTCGGGGTCCCTCTGAACACGAGGGTCACCCCACCGGGCCGGCACTGAGCGGGGACCTGCAGGTGTGTCAGCGTAGGGTGGGGGGACAGGAGCAGCCGAGGGGCTCTCGGGACCCGGGGGTCAGCAGCTGCCGGCGGGCTGCGAGTGCAGCCGCATCCCTGCGCTGGCGGAGGACCCAGCGGGCTCCTGTCTGCCCCTGGCCCACCTCGCTGCGCATTCCCCCCTCCCATCCCGGGGCAGGTGAGGGGAAAGCCCCGTCGCCAGGAGGTTGGGATGGAGGGAGGCGCCCGCTGCGCCCCCGCGGAGCCAGCGCGGCGGGGAGGGGGCGCGGGGGCGGCGTGCCAATGGCTGCGCTGCCCCCTCCTCTGCCCCCACCCCGCCGCCGGCCCCTCCGCCTCCCCGCCCGACCCTCCTCCCGCCGCTCACTCCGCGCCGCCAGCGCCGAGGCTGCGGCTCGGGAGCGGCCCCGCTCCGCGCCCGGCAGCGCTGGGAGCCAGCAGGTCTCCGGGAGGCGCGGAGGGTGGGGTGGGATGCCGGAATGCCCGGACCGCGGGGCCAAGGCGGCCCCCATCCATCATAAAATCTCCTTCTCCATCTTAGACATCCTGGATCCCCAGAAATTCAGCAGGAGACGCGAACCGGCCGCGGGGAGCTGGGGCAGCGCCCCCCGCTCGGGCGAGCGGGAGAAAAGTTTGGGAAGAGTTGAAGTAGGAAAGGACGCTGCTGCTCCCGGCAGCGGGAGGAATAAACTAGAGGCACATGGTAGGAACGCGCTCGAGTTTCTCCGTCCGGCGCTGGCGGGGCGCGCAGGTGGAGGCGCTGGCAGAGGGGACCCCCCGGCCCCGCGCCCGGCGGGGCTCCCGCAGGAGCGAGGGAAGGGGGGGCTGGAACTGGATTTTAAGTCTCGATGATGCAAAGGGAAAAGTTCTGGGTATCCGTGTGTCCTCCACGGCTCCTGGCGTGCGGGGCATCCTCTACCGCCCGACAAGGATGGCGCATCCCAGGGCGCGCCGCCGCCCCATGCCGGCTCCTGACGGACCGCGGCTCTTACTGGGGCACCGCACGTTTTTGTTTTGGTTTTTTTATTTATTTTTTTTTTTGTCCACGAGGAAGGGCGGCCCCCGGGCGCACCCCTTCCCCGGGGCGGGAGCGGTCGGCTGCCCCGGCCCGCGGGACGGCCGGCTGGGTAATTGCTCAGCCCGTCCCCACCGGAGGATGCCTTAGCTCCTGGTGATCGATATCCTATTACCGACTCCCGCCTATCTCCTGCCCGCAGCTTGCAGGTGCCCACTTCAAACCTCCTTCCCCCGGCCTGATCCTAATATTGTTCGATTAAAACTTACCTTTAATAGATGACATCTATCGATCTGGCCCTCGCAAATCTGAAACTCCATTAGCGCGGGGATGGGGAGGGGGGAGGGGATTTATTTCGCTTCAGAAGGGGACTTTAATAACTTCTTTTTTAATTGGTAAGAAATCCATATCGACGCCTCCCCCCTCCCCGCCGCGGATGCGGTGGCACAGCGGTGGGGTGGGGGCGCGGGGGGGGGCTCCTCTCGCACGGCAGGCGGGGGTTTTCTCCCTTTTATTTTATTTTTAATGATTGCCCTTATATTTCCACGCTGGAGGGGCTGGGGGGTAATGTCGGAGAAGAAGCCCGGGGTTCGGAGCGGGGAGGGGTGACGGGAGGAGGGTGCGCTCCGTCTGACGAGCGCTGCCATCTCGCCTAGATCCGCACGGCCCGGCGGAGAGCGGCGCCGAGGACGCGGGGCAGGACCGCGACGAGGAGGACCCGAGCGGGGACGGGACGGGGAGCGGGCCCTCTCCCGGGCCGGAGGAGCCGGGCTCGCCGCGGGGCGCCCGTCGGCGGCGGGCGGAGCCGGGCTGCGGGAAACCGCGGCGGGCGCGCACCGCCTTCACCTACGAGCAGCTGGTGGCCCTGGAGAACAAGTTCCGAGCCACGCGGTACCTGTCGGTCTGCGAGCGCCTCAGCCTGGCGCTGTCCCTCAGCCTCACCGAGACGCAGGTGAAGATCTGGTTCCAGAACCGCCGCACCAAGTGGAAGAAGCAGCACCCGGGCGCCGACGGCGCGGCCCCCGCAGCATCCCCCGCGGCGGCGGCGGGCGGCGGCAGCCCCAGCCCGCCGGGCCCCGCCGCTCTGCCCTTCCAGACTTTCCCTTCCTACGCCGCCGCCAACGTCCTGGTGCCGCCGGCCGCCCCCTTCCCGCTGGGAGCTGGCCCTTTCGCCCCTTTCCTCGGCCCCGCGTACCTCGGCCCCTTCTACGCCCCGCACCTCTGAGCGGAGCAGGGCGGGGGGCGGCGGGCCGCTCCCGAGCCCAGCCCCCGGGAGCCAGGAGCGCACCTCGGCCCTTCTGACCCAGCCGTCATCGCTTCTGGTGATTGCATGGCGATTGGAAGTGTAAGAAAGTTGATTTTTTTTTTTCTTAGGCGTCACGGCAGCATGCTTAACTTTGACACAGAGAAAAAAACCCCACTGTAACCACTGGATTTTATTAGCACGTTTGAGATGTAATTATAGGTGTTGGAGATGGGAAAAGCAACCCTCTTTACACATGCCTGACACTAATTCCCTCCAGATTCTTCTCCAAGTTCATTGTTAAAGCCGTTTGGCTTGCCAGCACATGTCTCAACCCTCGAGGGCTCGGGAGCTGTGGCACTCGTTACCACTGCTGTGATCCTGATCCTGACGATGGTGCACGTGGCCGTTTTAAATCCCAGGGACGCTCATCAGTGAAGATGTTCCCAGGCTCTGAATTTGCTCGTGGGACTTGTTTGCACCCTGTTTGACCCACGTTTTATTACTGTTTCTGAAAACTGCAAGCCTCTACCTGGAGGAGAGTTTTTGTCTGAGAAGGGGTAGGAAACTGCAGCTCTGTGTTATCAGGCAACAAGAAGAAAATCTACCTGGTCAGTGAGAAAGGATTCAACTGCTGCTCACGTCCACGGCCTCCCTGCCTTTCTTTGCAGTTCATTCCCAGTGACTTCAAAGGTCTTGGATGAGAAGTCTAAAGATCATTCTTTTTGCAGCGAACAGTTGTTCTTGTAATAACCCAGCACTAGTGCCAAATGAGGCAGAAAAGAAAACATAAATCTGAGAAAGTGATTACAGTATTCATTTCTTTAATGAGGGGGTATTTGTGGTAGAAAGTAAGTAAAACGCAGAATTTGCAGCATGCCGAGACCTATTTTCCATAACAGAGAAACATGTGCTTTTTCTGGTTTTGCTTTTTGGAGCATTTGTTAGAAGGAAAATCATATTTCATCTTCATCTTTACAAGCACTGGAATGAAAAGGAATTTTAGCTGGGGGCTTATCTGTCTCTGAATGGACGGGAAGTAATTGGTTTAAAAAAATCTGTCTCATGCAGTTTTACAAATTATTACAACATGGTGTTCAAGACTGTATCTTCTTGGTCTCTGATGATGCTTTAAAGTACACATTGGCTCTCCAACCAAAAAACTTAGCTCATAAATCCTATCTAGCTCTTCTTGTGTTGGTCTAAATAAAAAGAGGTTTTTTTTAAATTATTCCCTGTTTAGTTGTTTTTAATTGTACTTGGGTGAAGCAGTGTCTGCTCTGTGGACTGGTTGCCCACCTGTGTGGATACTGACAGTGCCCTGTGTTGCGGTTCAGTGGCTGAGGGTGGTATCTCATCTCCTCCGGGCTGGCTGCAAGCAGGGGGTTCATGGGACACCCATCTCTTGCAAAAACCACCTTCCCTACTTCCAGATTTGCAGGGAATGGAGGTGTGAGACCCACAAGAGTAGGCTTCAGCCAGCTGAAACGGCCTGAGTTGTCTTTCCATGCAGAAGAGGAGGTGCTCAGTGTCTTCTCGATGATTTGCAGAGCTATTAACAGAACATGAGGTTCACCTCAGGTCATGGGTTTGGAAGTCATAACTGCTATATGAATGTGTTTAATAATAATAATGGCCAGTCTTCGCGAGGGAAGATTTGGGAAAGGTCATTAACCCTTCGAGCCTGCGCAGTGGATTTTTTAGGTGAGACACAGCGTGCGCTGAACTGAGCCCACCCTTTAATCCTGAGGTTCATCTGCCGGGGCCAAGCAAACTTGGACAGTGGCAGTGAGGTCCCCAGGACGTAGGTTTGTTTAGAGTGACCTTCTCTTAGATGGATTGCCTTACAAGGCTGACGAGCTCCATCTGCCCGGGGGGCCGGGAATCGAACCCGGGTCGCAGCGGTGAGAGTCCTGCACCCTAACCACTAGACCACCAGAGGCCCCATGAATGTGTTTACTTGCAGGCTAATTAAAGTAACTTTTTATCTCTAATTTAAGTTAGAGTTACAAAAGATGGAGTCATTTTAGCCCCTCAGAGTACATCCACAGCTGCCTTCCTTTCTGGCCAGTGGATCAGCAGTCCCAGGTGTCCAAGCCACCAGGATCCACCACTGCTAACAAACCATCTGTCCGTCCTGCCTGCCTGGGGGCAATTAAGAGCTCGAGCCCTGCAGGAAGGGAAAGGTGTTCCAGCAAGCTTGTCCAGTCCATTTTCTCTGCCTCAAGTTAGGACTAACCAGACCTAAACCCTCCTGACTATTCGTGACCTCCTACTTGTGATTGCCATCACTGTGCATGCAAAAAACCAGGTCTTGATATCATTTGGCTGTCACTCTAAGAGGTTCCCAGAGCATGAAATGGCTGGTGACCCACAGTGTACTCAAATCTCTGGTGTAAAAAAGACTTGTGCCCTCTTATGGTCATATGATTAGTTCTCTTCCTTAAGAAGTGTAAAGCATAGCAAAAAAAACAAACCCAGGGAATGTTACAAATCAAAATAAACAAATAGTATAAATTGCCTCCTCCTTTGAGATGTGTTTTTTGCTGTTCATAAAACTTTCAAGGCTCTGCTTTGCCAGTAATTTTGCCTTTTCCAAAGCCACATTAACTTTATAGGAAATCTGGATTCCTATGCAAGAAACTCCATCAGTGTTTTTATTCTTCCACTCTGTCTAGTCACTTCTAACCCAGATTCCCTGACATTTTTTACAGTTAATTACAGTTAATATCCATCACGGTCCCCACTTTACATGACCTGTACCTCTGCACAGTATTGGAAGGGAAATGCATGTCAATGGTAATGCAGATTTTCCAGCTCTGATCCCAGGCCACCAGAGCTTTTCTGGCTAAACCCTTCCAAGCCCTTTGGGCAGACCCTTCCCTCCCTGCTTTGTCGAGGTGGAGTTGCTCGGGAGAGTGATCTCTGGCTTCTCATTAGGAATGTGGTGACTGGGCACTTATTACAGCTGTGATTCCAAGCAGTCCTGGAAGCAGCAGCCACTGTCAGACACCACTTTGCCCAAATTAGGCCATTCTCACTGGTAACACCTCTGGAAATGCCCCACTGAGTATCCATTATCTCTAACAATTCTGAATACGGATTTGTGCAATATTTTCAGGCGTAGACAAAAATTGGCTTTACTCACAGCTGAATATAGATGTTAAGGGGAATCACAAGTAAGTCCTACATGTGAAAAGTAAGGAATGCCTCTATATTAAATTAAAAGAGCTTTGAATTGAAATGCTCCAGAGAGAACAGGGAAGTTAGTAGCCTCCTTTGTTCCTGGGCAATCTCATCTAGTGGGTGGCATCTCTGCCCATGGCAGAGGGTTGGAACTAAGTGGTCTTTAAGGTCCCTTCCAACCGAAACCATTCCACGATTCCATGATTCCCATCACATCATCTGTACTCACAGTGTCTGCAGTGAGCAGGCAGCAGCAGCAGCAGCTGGTGTCAAACTGCCCAAACTACTGGTACCTTCTGGGTCCAAGAACCACAAAAATCACTTTGGAAAACAACTGCCTTTAACCTGATAATGAAAGAAGTACATGAGGGAATGCCACAGCATCACAGTTACGGAAATGTTAGAAATGTCAATTTAACCAGACTTTCAGACCCGTATTTAAGAAAAAAACCCCAAAACAATTTATGCAGTTGGTTTTACAAAGTTGGGAGAACACACTGAAAAATTAAATATATTGAGAAACTAAAGATAAGTATATTTATTGTAATGCCAGTGACCAAGCATTTTTCTTGAAGAAAATCAGTACATTTTGTTGTATAATACATGACTGGAAAATTTCCTTCCAGAAATCTCTCCTTGTGGTCTCCTAGAAACCTCTCCTTCCTAGAAATCTCTCTCTTAATCTCCCTCTCATTATTATTAGAACATCTGTAATAAACTATGTACTACCTACACAAAAATTCCTGAGCTAAGCACAGAATTCCCTGTTTTCCACCTGGGGATTGTTCAAGTAGGACCATGGAGAGAGGGACAAGGATGACTCAAGACGAGGAGCAGGCAGAGAGGGAACTCAGAGGCCTTCTACTGTCCCTGCTTCTGGCAGAAGAGTTCCTTTGGAAGAGACATGACCACGGATTTTTGTGTTCACTGTGGAACATGTGAGTGTCACCTCCTGGTGGCAGCAGAGGCTGAGAGGTACTTGGCAGTGTCTTCTGGCATTGTCTCTTCTTGGCCAGCCAGTTCCACGCCATGTTCAGAAAAGCAATGAAAGTCAAGGTACCCACGTGTTTATCAAAATATAACAGGTGATCTATTAAATGCCTCATCGGCCCACTACGTGGTCAGGTGAGCCAGGAATGATTGAGAATTGCTTTGGTCCCACTGGCCTCTTAGGAATGAGATCAAAGTCTGATTTTCAGCAGCTTTACAACTCACAGGCAGACTAGACATCAGGCAAAATATTTAGTGGGTCAGGTACTCCTGAAGAAAAATTAATAATGGGGTTCAAGCATCACTAGGCCTGAACACGGTTTTTGTTTTCTGGTATGACCCTGTATTAGCTGAAGTCACCTTGATCAAATCTTTACTGCACTTTCTTGACATGGAAAACTCATGTTCTGGGCCTTGTTTCTGGCAGTGTAGTCAGTAGAAGTTTCTGGGAAGATAATGATGTGTGCAACTAATTTATGAGCTGCTTGTGACAGGTTTGCTTTAGCCTCTAAGTTGGCATCTTTACCATTTTATTCACAGGAGCTGTTCTGTGGTTGCTGTGATTCATGTAGCCTGTAGCAACACTACTGTTGCTTTCCACTGCAGCACAAATACTAAACTCTGTTTCTCCTGGATTTCCCCCTTCAAACACTAAAGAGTTCCCAGTCTATCTTCTTTTTCAAGTTGATCATCTCATTTTCTGTGTTCTGTGTAATGCCACAGGGAAAATTGTAATTGAAAATGTGGCATTCCATGGGGCTTAGGCATGCTGGAACACTGCAGAGGGATTTCAGCAGTATTCAAGA